GCTGCCTAGTTTTCCAGGCCGTGTGGGTACTCTGACTCTGTTGGGTTGGAAAATCCACACTGACTACAGTCCAACAAACACTTAAGCTAATTATTAATACAAAAAAGCTGAAGAGTGGGTTTTCTTTAATGCTGACTGCCAGAAAGCTTCCTAGTCTGTTTATTTACAGTGCAGTGCTAACTGTCTAGTAAATTCTTTCGCAGAACTTCATCACTGATGAGAGAGAGACAGTGCAAAGTTTAGCAATAGAGCAGGTACACATGACAGCCAGTGATCCTGGAAACAGCAGTGTCTCCCACCAAAAAAGGACCTTGGATTATGGGTGTTCCTGTAGACAATTGCAGAAAAAACACACAGAACATTTAAGCCATGATATTTGGCTAAGTAAACTTTTTCACTAGTTCTCTAACCTTGCAACAGCCTCTCCTCGAGCTTCAGGCATCCAGTTGTGGCCAGTTGTAACTGAGTGTGTCCAAAAGGAGCTTTTAGATGTCGGGGCCAGCTGGAACAGTTAATCATCAGGGCTAAAATTTCATTTACAGTGGGTTCTGTGTGACTCAGATACCCAATCCTCTGCCTCTTATTTCCCTTTGCTTACAGAATAGTTACTTAGTCACAGGATACTTAACAGAGATTATCAGGGTTCCTGAAAAACTGGAGCATGTTGGCAAGAAGCCCTTCCTCCCACGCGGAAAATCCTGCTCATCCTAGGGATTCCTCTGCAGGGAAGTCTGCCTATCTGCATGAACAGGCAGCAGAAGATACGAGCAGAACGCTGTTTTTCTGAAAATTTCCCTCCTGAGCTCTCTTGGGAAATCACTTTTTGCCAGCTGAAATGCCAGCAGCTTTGGAGTTTACCATGATTTCTGATTCGGAAAAAATTAAAGTCTGCCTTTTTGTGCTTCATAAAAATACTTCTCCTGAATTGTGTTAAATTGCTCTACAATTTGCTGTCACTTGATTCCTACAGGGACTTTGGTTTTTTTTAGTGGACCACGCAATGGAAAGTGTTTCTCATGAGGCTCATGAAACACTGTGCTTGTTTTTACTGTGAATCATGAGATTATTTTTTTTCTTTCCCTATTTGGCTGTTGCTGACCATGGGACAGTTCTCTAGAATAATTCTTTTTTTTAAACTGAGTTTATTAGGGGAAGCAGGCAAACAAGGCTAAGTTAATGTTCAGCTGGAGACAACAGGCACATCTCTAGCTCAGCAGAAGTAGTCACGTGGGGATAAACCAAATATGCTTAAGTAAATAAACAGAAGTAGCTGATGGAGGAAGTCTCAGCACAGCATCACATGATTGAGGTTTGTTCTAACTAAAATGTGAACTTTACTAGTGAGATCTTACAGGTAATATTGTGTGGTCCTAGGTGCTTCTCAGTGATATCGCAGTTAGGGAGTTCATCCTATTTTTGTTGCCCTTTCATTGCCCGTGGAGGTGGGATCGAAGTACCTGGACAATGCTCCTCCACTCCAGAAACATCAAACAAAAATGTGGGGTTTGTGCCAATAGATACACTGCATTGTCATACCACTTTTTCTCTTTAAAGCCTTGTATGATTATTAACTATAAAAATATTTTTAATGGAGTTCTTGCTAATTGCTAACTCGTATCTGAGAGCTGCCTTTTTAATGAATACACGCTCTTCCCTCTTGCAGGATTGAGTTCCAGAACAAGTTCTACACTGGCACTGGATTCAAGTTTCTCCCTTTCTCCTTTGATACCATCCGTGAGGGGAGGTTTGACGATTAAAGATCCCTCCGCTCGAGCAGTGTTAAACGCCGTGTGTTTATGGCCAACCCTCTCCCGTGTGTCTGAGTTGCATGTAATCCTCCCATAGTGAAAATAACTTATTGCAGCACCCTCGAGTGTTACCATGGCGTTTCAAAGCCAAGAGCTTTGACATTCTCGGGTAATGAGTGACACTGGATCAAAGAAACTTTTCGTTCCTTAAGTTTACCACTGAAGATACTAAGTGCATGAAGTGTCTGAGTTTGGTGTGTAATAGTGTACTTCTCGTGTTGTGAATTCCCTGGCAGGCTTATCAGGGCAGTATGAGAGAAATGCAGCTATGGCTGAGTGGGCATACAAGCACATGGAGAAAAGGCGTAACAACTTCAGCTTGCACAAAGCTTGCTGCCCGGGAAGAGGGGTTTTTTTAAGAAACTTTTACATGTGGATCCTATGTCTCTGCCTCTGATTAAACAAATTATGAGCAGCGGGCAGTTGACAATCCAGGGCGTGCTTTCTCCTACCTCCAGGGCTTCCACATGTGCCATGTTTTAATCTGACAAAAACAATATCTCATCCCGTGCAGGGATTCAGCTCTTTGAACTCTGGCTGGGGCTTGAGGAGCCAATATGAAGGGGTAGGACTTGGCCTCAGCTAAGTGTATGGTGGCTCTCTGTTTGCTCTAGTGATGGGGAAACACCTTGTCCTCACAAGAAAGGCTGTTCCTTTCCTCCATGGAGAAGAGATGCTCCTTTAACTGTGCACCTACATGCTCGTATCCCAGGCAAAGCCCTAAGTCCAGCAGCAAAGGCCCCTTCCACCTCTTGTTTCTGGAGGCAGTGGTGAGAACAGGGGGCTCAGGCACAGGGGCTTGACTGCCCTGCTGTGGCCTGGGGTGAGATGGAGGAGGGATGAGCTGCGGTGCAGACTGTCATCTCAGGTACTGACCACTGGCAGTGGAACTTCTTGGGTTTCTTGTTTAAAACAGAGCCCTGAAGCTGTAGAGTCCTAGAGGCACATCCAGATAATGCCCGTGTAGACGTGGCATCACTGGAGGCAGCTTTTGCAAAGGTGGAGGTCCCAGTGACATATGTTGTCATGTATGCTCAGGGTCTGAGGAGCCCTTTAAGGGAGAACAGAGGCTGAGTCTTGCCAAAGTAGTCCCGTGGCAGTGGAGTCTCGGTGGTATTTCCCCATGGTAGGTCCCAGTGAATGTTGTCATGTATGCTCAGGGTCTGAGGAGCCCTTTAAGGGAGAACAGAGGCTGAGTCTTGCCAAAGTAGTCCCGTGGCAGTGGAGTCTCAGTGGTATTTCCCCATGGTAGCTGTTGCTTTTTCTCCTGTGTAAGATGTGAATAATTTCTTGCCCTCTTCAGCTCAGTGTAGCTGTAGGAGCAGTGTGGGGGGGTGTTAGTGCTGTGTGTAACTGTCGTGTTTAGTTGTCACAGTGGATCTGAAGTATTTGGGTATGAACGGATTAGAACGATAATGAGAATCATTGTAACCTGGAATTGAAGAGGAAATGCCACACAGCGCAGGGCTGTTTAAAATTACGTGGGAAAGGTGTGTGTGCACTGCATGCTGCAACGGGTGTGTCCATGGAGCACGGGGATCCTTGTGCTGCGTGTGGGCAGCTTTTGGGTAATCACTGTCTTTACAGGTAGACGTGGCTGTCTGTTTACAATGGTGTTTGCAGAATGAAAGACAAAGTCAAAACTTGTTTGCAGGTGGAGCAGTGACAGCAGTCCTGCTGCCCAGGCGAAATGCATTGCTGACAGTCACTGTATAAATTAAACTAACTGCACGACAAGCGGTGTGGCCTCTTTTCTGCTTCCCCCGTGCTCTCCGAAGGGTGCTCCCAGGCAGCCCCTCTCCCCTGCCTGACGCTGGGCAGAGCCCTGAAAGCCGCCTGGGGGGAGCTGGGGCCTTTAGCTTTCCTGCCCTGGGATCCTGTCACCTTGATGGCCAGTACGATGGGGTGGGCAGAGCTGGTTTCTAAAACGAGACCAGCGTGACCATGCCTCGGCTGAAATGTCTCTGTGCTTATCAAGCCCCAGCTGACATACTGAGCGAAGGCCGGACGGGGCCAAGCAGGGGCCGTTTTGTCCTGGAGCCTTCTGCCTGCCCAGATAAACCCATTAACTGAGTGAAACGAGCGGTTATGCAGGAAGAAAATCTAAGGCTTGATTAAACCTAGGTGTTGTGCATGTCCTTTCACGGAGACTGGGGCAAACACGCTCTGCCTGCTCAGGGCTGTTGCCCTGCTCCCGGCCCCCCCGAGCTGCAGGGCGTCCCCCTGCAGGGACCTGCTCCCCACCTGGGAGGGACGGATGGGTTTACTCAGGCCTTTCCTGCAGGGCCTGGAGCTGCCTGCGGGGGGGTTTCCACATGTGCAGGAGGAGCGGAAGGGAGGTTTCTGTGGGGTTTTGGCGATTGTGTTTTTGAGGTTGTTCCCGCCTGGTGTGTTTCCTGTCTCCTAATGTCTCTGGGAGGGTGAGGAGCTGGTCTGTGCTGCCCCTGCAGCCAGAGGATGCCTGCCCCTTGTCCTCCCGCACCCCTTAGATGAGGAGATGGATCCCCCACTGCTGCCGGTGCCAGCTGTGTCCAGGGGATGGTCTCCCCTTTCACCCGTTCCCCTGCTCTCTTGCACCACTCCCGTGTGCAATCACAATATTTCTGCCCGTTTCCATGGCTGTGCTTGGCTGCCTTCACAGCTCTGTGGACACACCGGTGGCCCTTGCTGCTGGCTGGCAGGGCAGGAGCCCCCGGCCCCCTCTGCGGGCTGTGCCGGGGAGGTGGGGGGGAGCCTCGGCCCTGCTGTGGAACAGCCCTGAGCTCGTCCTTCCCTTCTGCACCAAAGGAGGTGGCATGGCTGTCCCTCACAGCCAGGTTCTGTCCCGGGAAGTGCCCACGAAGCACTCCTGAAGCCAAGAGAGACCCTGCACAACCTGGGCAAGCCCCTGCCCATGCTCCCTGGAGGGGTTCACGTTTGTGTCCCCCCAGCAGCTCTGTGCAGAGGACCAGCTGTGCTGCAGGACCTCTCCCAGCAGCCATTGCTCGCCATTTCCCTGGCTGGGGCCCCGCTGGTGCCCGCTCTGCCTGCTCTGGCACTGCCCTGTGCCCCCGCTGCAGCAGGCAGCACGGCCTGCCCTGCCCGTACGGTATCTGCCTTCGCTGACGGAGGGCGAGCGCAGGGCCTGTCTGCCGGGGCAGCCCTGCTGCACCCACGCTGGGGCCCGAGGGTGCAAAACAGCTGCTGGGTGCGATGGCTGCGGGTGTGCGATGGGGTTGGGGCGCAGCCTCCCCTGGGGGTTCCTCCCCCGACTCCCCGGGGGTCTGCGCCCACC